GATAAGTTCTTCTATCTCATCGCGGAGATTCATACAGTTTTTGGTACTGTGACCGTGATCTCTATGAAAACTACAATACAAGCTTTTATTCCTAACATTGGGATCGGCCTTAAGCCGAGGTGGCCACTTCACATTTGGGGCATCCTTGATCGCCATGAGGATCTCAGCCCGTTTTGTGTTGAGGGGCGTATAATCCCTTTCTGCTGGCGGAGCTCGGAAAGGTTGAGTTGGCTTTGCCCCCCGAGCTTGTCCTTCTTCTTCTTGCTGTCACTTGGAGTCGGGGGCTCCGGTTCCCTTTTTCGTTTTTCAAGGGCCTGCTTGCCCTTTTGGTTAATCTCCTCCTCTGTCCCTATGAACCGATCTGCCAGTTCGAGGAACTCAGTCACGGTCTTGGGTTGGTTGACAACCACGTGCCATCTGAACTCCTTGTGGGTGCCCTGCTTGGCCGTAGTGAGCCGAACTATAGGGTCTAGGTCGGGTATCTGCAGGCAAGCGTCATTAAACTGCTTGATGTAGTTTTGGATGGACTCTCCTTTCCTCTAGACTATGCTGAGGAGGCTTTCTTGGGTCCTTAGACACCTTTTACTAGTGACGAAGTGGGAGGTGAAGACCTACACGAGCTGCGCCCAACTCCTTATTGAACCTGGCATGAGGTTTTGGTACCAAGTGCGGGCTACTCCTTTGAAAGTGGTGGATGAGGCCACGCACATGCAAGACTCACTCGCTCTAGCCAGATGCATCTGGGACTAAAAGGCGTCCACATGGTCATTGGGATCGAAGGACCCATCATACTTGTCCAGCAGGGGAAGTTTGAAGTCCCTTGGCATGAGGACAATAAGGAGCTCTGGTGACAGGCGGGAGGGTACTGAAAGAAGCGGTGTAGCTTTTACCTCGCTCGAACTCACCTCTACCTTGCCTCTGAGCTCGGGTAGGTCGCGGGTGATAGCTCGGCGAGCTCGGCGACGCCTTCGCTGCTTCTTAGTCGACTTGGCATTGGTGCTGCTGGCCTTGGTATTACTGAGCTCGATGGGCCCAGGGAAATGCTTGGACGGTTTTCGGTAGCTGCGAACAGAGGGACCTTGTTCCAGGTCGTCGACCAGCACTTCAAACCGGTTTTTGGCAAGCGGAGGTTCGAACTGCGAGCGCTGAGGTGATACTGGCCTAATCGGCTGGAAGGCCCCTGACCTAACTACAGGCCACGAGGCGGGGGTAGGGGGTCTTTCCTTCCTTCCATGGGATGATACCGAGGTCTCTCCTCGATGAGAAGGAAGTTCACTTCGGCGGTGATGCTTGGTTGGTTGCACAACTGGATGCCGAGGAGGGAGTGAAGGAAACTGTTGCTGATAATGATATAGGGAAACTTGGTGCAGCACTTGCTGCTGGTGGAACTGGAGTTGTTGGAACTGTTGCATCTGAGTCTGCATGGCTCGCATGCACTGCATCAGATCCACAAGCTAACCTTGGCTGGCCACCAGAGGGAGGATGGTGGGTTCAGCGAAGGTTGTTCTGACTACAGAAGGTAGTGGAACAGTCACGGGTGCTACCGTCTGAGGCTCATTCAGACTTGGAACCCCATCCACAGAGAGGGGGACGGTGAACTGCCCGATGCAGACGGTGGGTAGCTGGGGTTGATCCTCAGAGGTGTTCCGGCATCCGGCATTGCTGGAGGAAGCCATAGGTGTTGGTAATACTAATGAGTTCTTCGAAGGGAGTTGCACAGAAGTTAAAGGAAGCCTTTCGAAGCATTTACCACAAACGGCGCCAAATGATGCAACACGATCTAGGCACTCCTAGCTGGCTGAGACTTGGCTCCTAGCTGTGACGGACGGGACCTGAGAGGAAGAGGAAGGTGAAGGGTTCCCGGGGAGCTCTCCCAGAGGGAACACTCCAATGGCTAAGTTAGAACTCTTGAGGAAACTCAAAGAAGACACAGAGAGTTAAGAGTGCTGAAAGTGCTAGCTTTAATACCTTAGCTTCGTGAGGGTTGGGGTCCTTTTATACCAGAGCTCGGTCACATCAGGCGTAACTGCCAGGGCAGGGGTGGTAGGTGTAGGTTGTTGCTACAGGCTGCTACTGCAAGGTACGGATTCGACAGGCGTGCCATGCTTTTCAGAGACTGCAGGTAGAATGCCGCCTGGCAAGGGATCCAAGCACTGCCATCGGATCTGGTAGGTATGGATGTCAGGTAGGGACGGATGTCAGGCAGATTTCCCTACAGTCTGCCGAGCTACCGTACACCGAACCACCTGGGGCAGATTTGCCTTGCACCGAGGTGCCTGCACTGGAGGCGAGCCTTAAGCAAGTTCAAATAGGAGTCTCAACGGTGCTGCCTCGAGGTGTTTCGCCCTTGGGACACTTAGCCATAAGCCGGGGTGCTCCCTTCTTAGGAAGGGAGAGCTTGGGGCCCTTTAGGAGGAGCTCGGGGAGCTCCGCCTTCAGGCTTGGGGCGAACTGGGCCTTGCCTACTCGGCGAGTTGTCACACCTGCCGAGTCGTTTGGTCGGGCCTTGGCGAGCTTGTTACGCCGAGTTGTGGCCAGGCTGCCACGCTGACTTGTCGCTTATGCCAGGTCATATACACGTGTCCCCGTGATACGGGGTCCGGCCGAATCACCCTACATCACCACCTAAATTGATGAACGGAACCTGGAGTTCTAGTGCGTCGGCACCATGTTTCTCATCGTTCGTGCCACACAAATTGTTTTGGTTGGTTGGATTCGTATCAAAGAATCGAGGCATTTTATGATTTTTTATGCAAAGAAGTTTGAGAAAATCAACAAGGGCAATTATGGTATTTTATGATTTTTTAAATGATGCATCAGGGGTAATTTTGCAAATGCATACATTTTTCGTCTGGGTCAGTGATGGAAGGGAAGTTTTTTGTTGAGTTTCTAATAGTTCATGGGAGGTATTTGTTACAATGAAACTATAGGGGAGGTTTTTATGATTGTTAGAAACTTTAGGGGAGGTTTTTGTATTTTATCCTTTTTATCTTATCCAAATCCAAATCATGATTTTTTTATTCTTTTATCTATTATCTATTGGATAAATTTCTTAAACTACTGTTATGGTTTAGTTAATTAATTAATTATATCCTTACTGTTTAACTATTGTCTTGCACTACCTCTATTGTTTTGGACAATTGATATCTACATAAAAAATGCAATGTCAAATTTGCTCTCCACTATTTCTCAGATTTTCAAAATAAAATTCAATTGATAAAAAAATTTCAGGAAGATATGATGCTACTTTGTCTCTGTTTTCTGTCTCCGCTAAAATTCCCTTCAAGAAGATATAAAGTGATGGTGCATGCACGTGTCTTTTATTTGCTCGTTAAGAGCACCTCTATGGTTCCGTTTTCGCGACTCGTCACAATTTGGGGGACCTCTATTTGAGGAAGCGTCATCGTCTACAACCCTAGTTCAAAAGACTCCCCCTTAATAACAATGCTTCAATCTCTAATGGGATATGTGTAGAGTAGAAAGGAAAGATTTTCAAATTTGTATTCAATTAGCACTTTTTTTCTCTTTCTTAAAGAGATTTAGTAGGATTATAATAAGGAGTGTTTTATTAAATTAGGAAATTTCCTTGTAGGAGACATAAAGGTGTAAAGAAATCTATATAAAGAGTAGATAGGGCAAAGTTAAGGGAGTTTTTGGTTGATTTCCTCTTAGGCTCCATTTGGTTTATGAGAAGATTTAGGTGTGATGGGAAAAGATGGGATGGAATGGGAAAGTGTAAAAATCTATTCTTCCATTGTTTGGTTTTATACATGAGAAAATAATAAGAAAGCACTATTTCAAGGAGAAGAGAAGAGAAGGTGAGGGAGAAGAAAACACTGTGTCTGCAACTATATCTGTGAACGCAGAAGAAGAAAGAGAAGAAGAGAGGAGAGAGGGAGGAGGAAGGAAGTGTCTCCGATTTGTGTCTATGAACCTAGATCTAAGTTCTACCATGGCAGAAATTAGATTTGTGTATGCGAACCCAGATCTGTGTCCACGATTGTGTGTGCAAACCCAGAAGAAGAAAGAGAAGAAGAGAGGAGAGAGGGAGGAAGGGAGTGTCTCCGATCTGAATTTGTGAACCCAGATCTGAGTTCTACCATTGCAGAACTTAGATCTATGTCTACGAACCCAGATCTGAGTTCTACCATGGCAGAACTTAGATCTATGTCTACGAACCCAGATCTGTATCTGCAAACCCAAAAGAAGAAAGAGAAGAAGAGAGGAGAGGGAGGAAGGGAGTGGCTGAAAGGGGGTGCTGCTGCCGTTGCTCTGTTTCTAGGTTCGAACGGGGAGGGGGTGCCGTCGTCGCTGGTTTCACCGAAGCAGAGAGTGAACAATGGTTTCTTACATTTTTCCACTGGGGTCACACGGTTTTGGTGCGACTCCAAATCCATGATTTTGGGATCTAATATCCCACACGTTTCTCACCCCATCCCCTCTTTCCCTCAAACCAAATATGAGAAAAGGGAATATTTTTGAAATATTCTCTTTTTTTCATTCCCATCCCACAATCCAAACGGAGCCTTAAGTATTCGGGGAAGAGTTTTTCTCTCCCTCTTTATTTTGGTTTTGGTTTTTTTCTTTGAAGCTTCTCTGAACGTGAATTATTTTCAAACCGCAACACTTATTGAGTTTTTTAGCTTGTTTTTAAAAACTACTCCTGAATTTAGGCATAGATTCTATAAGCAAAGTAATTTCTGCTAAGCTGCATAAGTTAAGCTCTGACAGCATTTGTTTATAGCAGATAAGGACTCGCTTAGTTATTAATAGTGTTGACTGCTGTACTTAGTTCGATCTTATAATGCATTTAGACTATTTGTTCCTAGCTCGTTAGGTTTATTGGAGAAAAAGCCACGGGATTGATCATCTTTGGCACGAAATGATGAATTAACCTAAAAGCTCTAGCTACTTAAGACAGGCTATTCTGTTCGTTGGTTTTTCATGAACCCAAAGGCCAAAACAGTACTGCAGATATATGGGAATAGATCTTTTTTTCTTTTTTGATAGGCATGCAACATAGAGATACATGGATCATATCCATATTTTATTATTCGAGCTACATTTCACTTTCACCAGAAAAACGGTGAATTATTTATTAGAGTAAAGCAACAGTTTAGGAACTAGTAAGGAAGGTAGATCCCTTCAGCGGCTGATCCTCTGAAAGGTGGAAACCTAATGATCGAAGGACAGGTGGGCTCARGGTAGACGGGGCAATCCATGAATTCAGACCCAGATTTATCCACGCAAAACATAACTTGGTGGAGCTGATATTTGCCAAACTTATCAACAGTGCATGCAAGTGCAGGAGTTACTCCAGTTGCTATCTGAAGGACTCGTGTGATTCTCTCCGAGCTGTAGTACTGCCCATCGGGGTTAATCCCTGCATCATTATTATTGCTTACGTATATAAGTGATAATTAAGAAACTTGAATTTATCTTCATGTCTGCAACAATATAATATTACCTTCCTGTTTGAGGATCTGGAGGATATTCACTTTGTCCTTCAAGTCGAGACCTGCTTTAAAGTAATCGTATTGACCATCGAAGACAGAGAGTGAGCAGGTGCCAT